TCCGCAGTGAATATACAATTTCGAAGCAAATGATGGCGATCGCTACAAAAGGACTGAATTTAACTTAAACTGGGCTTTCTTCTTACACATTTTATCTTAATGAAAATACAATAGTGCAACACTACGTTTCAAGTTATGGGTACTGGCAAAGTTTCATATTTTTTAATTCGGTAGTTTTTGAGAATATAGTGTTCTCAAAATTTGGCCTTAGCTCCATTAGTAGTAAGATTATATGATGTATCTTTTACAGTATGCTATGTAATGCGTAGATATATGAATTACATAAATACGATTACAAACACACACACATACACACTTTCCATGAACTGATTAGACCAAAGGTAACTCTGGATGGAAACATAAATCAATGCTAAGAGCACACCATGCAGAGCTCCCACCAAGCACCCTCACACATTACCCAGTTGGCCCAGTAATCACTACCACGATAATGATAATGGTAACAGTGTGCCGAGTTCAATAGTAGAAAGTGTACCTTTTTTGGTTATCTTAATACATCCACGGACTCCTTTCGAGTCCAACAGGAGCAATTTGTGCTGATTCCTGTTATCGGTGAAATGAAATATGGGCGCAGTAAGCGTTTGGTGGATTCGGGTTCGATCATATTTCGTTTATCGTAGTTATCATTTTGTTCTGATGTCAGCAGAAGAAGCATATTATCTAGAATAAAATAAAACTTGGCTCGTCAGCCAGCTAGCTGGTTGACCATGAGCACGTGGATAGATACTACGTTTTACCTAATTACAGCAATTAACCAATAAGAAGGCCGCTACCTTGAACCGGGCTAGCAACTGGATGATCCCCGCCGGTATAAAAGTGGGTTGCGGGCGACGCGAGGGTTAGGAACTGTCCGACCACTTAGCTAGCGAGACACGCCATGGCGACCTACGTGGTCTTACTGGCGCTTGTAGCCGCTGCTACCGCGGGTAAGTGACCGCAATTGTTCAGGAAATTAATGCTCAAATTGTTATTTGGTCGCTTTTAAGCACAAGGGGGCTATCCCGAAAAATGCTTTTTGAGAAAATCGAAGGTAAAGTTTTTGGACCCTTGTTCGGTTTCTTTAAAAGACAAGGAGAGTTTTCTCTATTATAATCAAACAAATATACACACCAATGAAACCAAACTTCTACTATAGGTAGGGTAATGTCCACTTTTGCGAAATCTGGGTTAGCCTGCTTTTCCTTAAAAGTGACCATTTATAACACCAAGTGTTTGTTTGTGGCCTGTATTCTGATCCAGAGTGGAAAAGGCAATGATGATCTATATATTTTTTCTTTTTTTTTTTGGTTGTTTATTTCTTAAACAAATCTTTTGGGAAGTAGTAGAAAGTTGTATGCTTTTTAAAAATGTAGTTTTTGGGGTCTTGCTTAATGCCGTTATGGATGGACACAGAGGCGGGCTTTGACCCTGCCTTTAAGGGCCAGCCCGGGATGAGGAGGATGCATCAAAGTCCCAGCAGACAGACGGATATACTCAATACCAATTCTTCCCGCACGGGAAATCGAACTCGGGTTTTCTGTGTGCGACATCGAAGCGCCGAACCACTACACCCACCACAAATGCCGGTGCGGACAATTCATAGTGTCCGACCAGCAGAGGACCAAAGGCAGTGTTGCTGAACATTTCGAACAATCACAGTAATAATATACAAACATAAAACACTCATCTTCATAGTTAGTAGTATAAATACGTTGATGTATTCCTTTTTAAAAATTTCAGTAAAGAAAACAGAGTTGGGGGAGAAAAGATTTGTATGAGTAACGAAGTTATTTTTCTTGCCCCAAACAGCGCGTATTTAGGCATTAACAAACACCAGAGTATTTGAGTTTTTTGCGTGTATCTTATCGTTATGGCATTTTGTTTCGTTGACACTGATTGTATCATGTTTACTTGCGATATGGAGAGAGTTAACAGGAGAGAGAGAAAGAGAGAGAGAGAGAGAGAGAGAGAGAGAGAGAGAGAGAGAGAGAGAGAGAGAGAGAGAGAGAGAGAGGTGGGGGTGGGGGGCTGCTCTGTCAACAACAGCGTGGTGTGTTGATGTCTCAAGAGAAGTGTGATGTAGTTGTAGGGACGGGTGGCATAGTTTAAATGGGGATAACCATGACATTGGCTTGATGGGACTTGCTGACCAGCGGTTTTTGTTCAGTGGTTGTTTAGAGGACGGATAGGACCTAATACTCGTAGAAGATGAGAAAGGCGCTTAAATGACCAAAATTGTGTCGATAGTGCCGTAAAACATCTACCCAATCAGAAGATGAGAACGGGGTATAGATGCCTAGCTTGGGACCAAAACAAACTCCGACAGGCAGAATGGAAAGAAGAGGGGTGTTTTATGGCAGGACAGTCAGAGAAGCACCTTTCAACCACTGGAAAAAGCTAAGAAGAAGAAAGTTCATTTGTGATTGGCATGGCTCTGGATTTATTAGATGAGAAATATGTAACTGGTGTTACACTGGTTTATTGATTTAAAGAAATTGTAAACGTTTTCACGCACCTATGGTCGCAATTTTGATAATTTAACAGGTGGACTGCAGTTTTGATCTTGATTAGTAAAACCAAACCGCAATTTGAGCATTCAAATTCAAATGCTATATTTCTACTTGTGAAAGTACGCAGCCTGCGGGCTTCTCTCTTGGATTCAGCATTTTCTATTCTTAAAGCCATATATTACTTGCTGCCCTCTGTGTTTGCTTCTATTCAACTTGGTCTGTTTGGAGTAAGGTTCTCCTATGTCAAGGGATTCATATTTTGAAAACCTTCAAAGGCTAAGTTGGATACACTATCCCAAGAGACCGACAGAGATACTCGATACTACATGCCCAACATCCCCTCATGGCAATCAAACTGACGTACTCAGAGAGTAACAGCAAAGATCTTATCTATTGCATCATTGTTGCTAGAATGAAAGAGTTTCGCACCAATTGTTTTCAGTTTTTTTGCTGACAATAAATAATAATAGTAGTTGCGTCTGTCAATATAAGACAATGACCAATGCATCTGCAAAGAAGAATATTTCCTAGTTTTAAGCGAAATAAAAGAAATAAAGATTATAATGACCTGTGGCTTCTGGTATGTTCAATGAGACCAATTCTGGCAGAGGAGAGTTTGCTACAATTTGAGGATTTGTTGTTGTTGTTGTTGTTGTTAGCCATCCAGTAAAATCTGAGCGTTAACTCTTCTGCATGATGCCATTCGGTAATAGCTGCATGTCTGTTCTAATTGTTGTCTTGAGGAGTAGAGGCAATTAGATGTGTGGGGTAGCTCGGGAAGAAAACATCCCCTTAAATCAGTTAGTTTTCTACACAAGAACAGATGATGTTCCGCTGTCGCTGAGGGGTAGTCACATAGTGGGCAGGCAGCAGACTGCTTTACTCCTATTCGGTTGAGATGTTGGTTGAGGGGTACATGTTGTGTTCTAAGTTGGAAGATTATGAATTGATCTCCCCTCCTCAACTCATTGATTGGATCTTTGACCAGTGGTTTATTTGAGGATTTAAAAGCTTCTTTTTCAAATGTGGAAATACGCAACTTGCGTACTCCCCTCTTGGATTTAGCTTTTCTAATTTTTGAAGCCTCATAATAATAATATGATTTGTTACGCTATGTGATAGCTGCTCTCTAACTGGGCCTGTCACACGGTGGGCCTATCTAAAGCTAGACTCTCCCATGTCAAAGAATTCATGTTGAAATCCTTCAGACATTTAGACAGAATAGAAATGAGAAATGTGCAAATGAATGTATACATGATCAGTGCAAGATATAACTTAATATGATCGAGCATTGTTCAGGAATTAGCACAAAGTGCACGTCTGCAAAGAACATGCAGTTTTACCATTTGTGTTAGGACGCGGTGGAATCAGGCTCTCGTCAATTTGTGGGCATACGAAGTTGATGGTATCATCTTAAGGCCTGTCCATTTTCCTTGTTTTTTATAATGAAAATAATATCCATCTATGTTTAATAGAAGTCGAGATATGTGTGATTGAAGGAGGTGAGGGTCATCTGGTTTCAGAGGTAAATTAGCGAGAAAATGGGCGCCAAAGTTGAGTTACTTCTTTAGATTGAGAGTTCGTGGAAACTGAAAATTTACATTTCTTCTGCCTTTAATCAACGGTTTTTCAATAAAAATCCACGTAGAAATGTGCTGTTTAATTGGCATGAAAGGTGTTGAGCCAAAAAAAAGAAAATTCGATAAAAATTTAAAAATTGCCAAACTGACTGAAAAATGCCTGTTTCTTCGATTTTATTATTTTGACGAGCGCCTGATTTCACCACACTGCCTCACATTTACTTTCCGCGACACCCAAAAGGGTACAAGCCGCGGATTAAACGAACACACAACTTCCTTTTGAGATCTTTTGTGTTTACGACTCTCTGTAAATGTCTGAATAAAACCCCACATTTCCTTTTAATTCACAGTCCCAGCAAGATACAATTATGATCAACAGTTTTCCTGTGCAACGACATGTTCTGGTAAGTGTCGCCCCCCGACCCTCACCGTTTTCGACATAGTAAGCACCAAATACTCAATGCTTCTTTTAATTGTCTTAGGTTGGTTCCTTAAAAACTGTTTGGTGGTAGGCTTACTTTAGAATTTAAGTAACTATTTGGGTTGCTCCGACCTCTCAATCCCACCTCTACAAAACAACAACAACAACAACAACAACAACAACAACAACAACAACAACAACAACAA